CGGCATAGGCCGGGCTCACAATCACTGAGATCTGCGAAGTAGATGAAATTTCATGACAACATGTGCGACTGTTGCATTGGTTTTCTTTAATTACATATACACTGTATGCATTTGATAAACAAGCTCGCAAACATTGTCATAGGCAACTTTATTGTACATACGCTCCTCACAAATCTCTTTCTCGCTTGACTCATGCCAAACCGTACCAAAACCGAGGTATCTCATTGAAGACGGCAATTTAGTACTTACATATTTCACAGTGTTCTCCCATGTATTTTCTGGGGCAGGTGCAAATGTAACCTTCAGCTGTATTTTGGCACGTACCTCCGTTTTGGCATGGGCTTGAATCACATCCGCTGATGTCTGTAAAATAACAAAACTTATCCAATGCTAATTATTTATTGTGTCAGACAAAATCTCCGCTTAAACACACGCAACGTGAGCTAGATCCATTCACTCAAATACGAAATGTACATGTACACGTAAAACACTGTATAATGTCTGCTTTTTTTATTTTAGGCTATGCCTAACCGCGACCATCAGAACCAAAGTAGCAATATTGTACAAAATGGCATTGAACACTTTTCTGAACTGACATTTTTCGGTGATCGTCATGATAGTTGAACACGTTGTTGGTCCCTTTTCCTCCCCTTATAGTCTATTACAGGTGGTTTTACAAGAGTTGAGATCATTAAAACCAAGTGTAATTCATAGGTATAAAATCGAAGTTGTAAGTTTTTTTTAATTCTGACTTCACTGGCACTAAAAACGAGGACATAATGAGTGTTTTTTGTCTTACATACCATCACAGGAAAGATGATGGGGTGTCTTTCCGGCGGAACTTTTTGAACCAAATATACATAAAGATAATTTAGTTCTTCTATTGCGACGATTTAAGTATTTTTGCTACACGTGCATTAGGGAAACCTACAGGTAACTTTCATTGTTAGATTTACATATTCTGTCTGAGTATGGGCAGGGGCAGAAAACCACCTAGAACAACCTTAGACTGCCGCATTAATCTAATACAATGCAAAAAAGCCCTATCAAAAGTGGTTAAAGCATTCAAACTGAATGTCGTAAAGTCCCAATGAACCCCCTAGAGTACTCGAAAGTAAGAGTACAGTCTAAGGTTGTTCTAGGTGGTTCAAATTTATGCGCCCGGTTTTAAAATCATATAGCGATTTTACGACAATCGTTTACTATCCAATCAAGGTGACAGCCGAGCGTGGATGAGCCCGCAGTCGTCCTACAAAATTTGTTCTGGGGTATCATACTCCGAAATGCGATCTGACACACACCTTGAAAACGGGTAGTGTGGTCCGATATACCGGTTAATTCAGGATCCTTATGTGCCGAATCTGGTAGTTGTGTGGTCCGATATACCGGTTAATTCAGGATCCTTATGTGCCGAATCTGGTAGTTGGGTAGGCCTGACTTTGCCACGGCCTTCTATGTGCATATAAAGTAATGACCGCACTTTAAGTTATCATGTTTACCTTCAGTTTCTCCCGTGGTAGTGGTTACCTCTGTACTTGTTATGAGTAGTGGTGTTGTCGTCATAACCATTGCAGTCACATCTTCAACTAACTTAGTGCTTACGTAGAAAATAAAGATGAGATTAAAAACCTGCGCCATGGTTGCACACCTCTCTCTCTCTCTTCACCTTGGCAAAGTGTATTTATAGTTAATTATAAACAGCTCAGATATAACCATTTGTTACTATGTTCCGATTGGCTCATCCTTCTTGCATTATCGCACTTTAATGTTAATTAAAAGAAAGTCAGGTGTTTATGCACGTACATTTGAAGAAACATCCATAAAAATATTATTGAAATAGGAATATGAAAAGGTGAGCAGTTCAGTAGGCGCGTGTCTTCATAAGGTCTATGGTCGTCATGGCGCCCTTCCTTGTCAATGTATACATCATGATTTTGTTATTTAACAGGGCAGAATAAGTCATCTAACGTGAAGCCAGGTGTCATCCAAGCACGGTTACAAGGTTTTCTGGTCGGTGACGGAACAGTACGAATATACATGTACATGTATTCCCCTTAAAGGCAGGCGCGGTGATTAAGACCTTAATAAAGCAAATTTTAATTTTACGGGACATTTCAAGATTTTTTTTATAATTTAACTATACCATGTCAAAGATGAAAAATACGCCTGCGATAGCACAATCCATAACCGTTTTTCTCTCTTTCAGCTTATAGTTTTTGAGTCACTCTCGTCATGTGGATTGTTGGTGGTATATTCAACTCGTGATATGATTACAATCAATATTCTAATTAAAAACTCACAAACAAGTTTGTAAATCTTAATTTGCTTAACACGTACATATNAGCTCAGATATAACCATTTGTTACTATGTTCCGATTGGCTCATCCTTCTTGCATTATCGCACTTTAATGTTAATTAAAAGAAAGTCAGGTGTTTATGCACGTACATTTGAAGAAACATCCATAAAAATATTATTGAAATAGGAATATGAAAAGGTGAGCAGTTCAGTAGGCGCGTGTCTTCATAAGGTCTATGGTCGTCATGGCGCCCTTCCTTGTCAATGTATACATCATGATTTTGTTATTTAACAGGGCAGAATAAGTCATCTAACGTGAAGCCAGGTGTCATCCAAGCACGGTTACAAGGTTTTCTGGTCGGTGACGGAACAGTACGAATATACATGTACATGTATTCCCCTTAAAGGCAGGCGCGGTGATTAAGACCTTAATAAAGCAAATTTTAATTTTACGGGACATTTCAAGATTTTTTTTATAATTTAACTATACCATGTCAAAGATGAAAAATACGCCTGCGATAGCACAATCCATAACCGTTTTTCTCTCTTTCAGCTTATAGTTTTTGAGTCACTCTCGTCATGTGGATTGTTGGTGGTATATTCAACTCGTGATATGATTACAATCAATATTCTAATTAAAAACTCACAAACAAGTTTGTAAATCTTAATTTGCTTAACACGTACATATTTAGCATTCCTTGATAACGAATGAGAAAGTTCCGGTGAAATTCATCCTTTGTTGTAAAAAGGTGTCGTATGCCATGTTTGTCTTTCAAGAATAAAATATGTTTTCATGACAAAGCGGGTTTTATCTGTGTTGATCCCAGGCACACCACTATTACCTACTCTCTACCAGGGTCGCAGATAATTCGTGCAGAAAAGAGCTATCATTTATCCAAAGACATTATCTGTGAATATCATTGGATATATCATTGAGTATTTATCTGTGAATATCATTGGCAAATAAGCCCTGTACAGTATGGAAAATTAATGGGTTTGCTGCTACCTGAGCTCTTTTAGCTAAGTTGACAAACATGAAATAAACCGTTAACTACAAGGAAGATTTACATGGAGTCTCTTTATACCGATTCTAGGCATTAACAAAATGAAGTTGTCAGAAGTTGAAGTTTTTGTATATTTTAAACAATCCAGTAAACTTAAACCACATAGTTATATTCTGTGTCTTTGCTGCGTATTGATAATTACCCATTTATGTCGGTAAAACGCTGCATCCCGCGCTTGATTAGTTTATGTATTAACAGGGAGAGGCCACCGGTGCAACAGGAATGTCCTAGGAAAGGAAAACCGATGTCCCATATGATTAGGACAGGTTATGGATAGTCGGAGTATTGGAATATATTGGATGTCACCTGTAAAAAGTAATGGGGGGGGGGGGGGGGGGGGGGNGGGGTCCCCAGAGGATGTCATCCATAAAAATAATAAAGTGTGGCCTAACAGGGAGAGGCCACCGGTGCAACAGGAATGTCCTAGGAAAGGTAAACCGATGTCCCATTTGATTAGGACAGGTTATGGATAGTCGGAGTATTGGAATATATTGGATGTCACCTGTAAAAAGTAATGGGGGCGGCGGGCTACGGTTCCTAGCGGACTAACATTCCTGTCACAGGATTTCCCTGGGCCCGCCTATGACGGCTGTGGCATACGTTATTATTAGCCTATGTTTTAACGTATATCAAATAATTATGATCCGTACTTTAAAGATAAAAGGGGAAAAGGGTTCAGTATGAAAATGTATAAAATGTATAACCACGGTAAGCAGGGTCTTGCGGAGAACCACAATAATTTGTGTGTAAACTAATTGTGTTTGCAGCGCCGACCGCAATGGGCGCAATCCGTCCGCATCCTCACATTACCCTTACAAGATTAGGAGATGATGACCTGGATTAGATGAAATGAGCGTTTTTTATAAATAAAGCCTACCAAAGTACTTAACTTATGCTTACAAAAGAGGGGTAGCGTGCAGTTCACATCACTCAGTGATAATTATGATCAATTTTTCCAAAAAGAATGCGTTATCAGGTGCGTTAACAGTCGAGCTTCCAGTCCCGTGGACTTTAAAGTCATAATAACTCTTCGTTTCAAATGGCAAAAAATTGGATTTTTCTGGAGTTAACGGCAATTTTCCCGTACTTACCTTTGGTCAACGACTCCATTCCTGCATTCAAAGTTAGTCCAGGTTTTTCCCTAAAAGTATGTTTTTTTTTTTGTTAATATCTCTTAAGAGATTTAAACAGACGGAGCCCTCTCTGGCATTGCATTGCAAAGTCACTCGATATCGAGCGAGATTTTCCGGCGACCTACTTAAAACCGCGGGAAAAGCAGACAGCAACAACACTTTATAACAATAATATAAAATTCAAAAGATATATTGGTCTTATTGCTCAAAATGCATTAATATCTAAAATGTGTGCTGTTATGGACTTTTCGTTATCCAACGCACTGTACAAAAACTTGCAACTTACGTCTGAGGATTGCATCACGCGTCTGCTTTCTTATGCTGCCCTTTGTTGCTTTGGTCTCGAATGAACGCGAGAATCCGCTTGACACCCCAACGTCATTGACAACGGATGCCTTGACGACCGGGAAGAAAGGCATCTAAAGCCCGATTGACAAGCACAGATTTTAATTTTACTACAATAACAGCCGTTGTAGTGGTAAAATGCAATATAATATATTTCCATGCGTTGTTTACAATGTATTTCTTGCAGAATTTTGAATCTCAAAGGAAGAGTTATTATTGTTTTAACAAGTCGGCGTATTACAAAACACGAACACAAGCAAATAAAAAAATTGTGATAATGTTGTATGTATGCATGTTAGTAGGTTATACCACTCCTAAATGCACATGTTAGGCCTACGTATCGACATTTCTTTGAATAATGAAAAACATACTTGAAATTCAATGTGGATATTTTTTCAAATCATTCTTCATCGATTTTATCCTGTTTTTGAAAGCAAATCATTTTTTGAAAGCAAATAATCAAATCGTTTTTAGGAAACTTTTAATAACCTCTTAATTATTAAGCAAACACGGAGGTGACCAAGGCTGATTCAAGTCATAAAACAATCAGTAAAAGCGCCTGATCTGGATTTCAGTAATTTCCCATTCATCATCTGTGAAAGAGTTAAACGCCCCACATAAGACGCTCAGTGTGTAGTCACAGTAACGGTCACTTGTGCAACGGTCAGTCTGGTCGCATCTGGCCGCTACCGGGGCTCTCAAGCGCCGTGGCATTCCTTTTGACAGGTCTCATGGAGTATGAGCTGGAATCAAATTTCAAGCATCAGTATATTTTCAATAGGAAAATGGTTTGATTAGTTTAAGGCACAGTTCGCTACGGAAGACCACATTAATGCCAATGATGCCGCAAAAGCATGTATTTTGAAAGGTATGAATTATGTCAGAGATTCAAGTGTGTAAAGCCTGGGTCACACTGCGCTTGCAACCTTTTGGCAACCTCTTTGCAACCTCAGTCGCAAGGAGGTTGCCATAGGTTTTAAAGTGGTCGCATAAGGTTGTTAACAGGTCGCCTGCGATCGTTGACACATGAAGGCCATTTTTTGTGCACCGACAACCAGTGCGACTAAAAATGAAAATTATCGGTATCCTAAAGGTTGCCTATCGGTCTTTTCTTGATTGTCAGTAGGTTGCTATAACCAGTATAATACCATTTGCAACTGCACGGTCGATTGACAGTATTTAGTCGACTGGTCGCTTACAAGTTTTTTACCAGTCGCAAATAGTCGGCAGCAGATCGCTAGAAGGTTGCAGTGGTAACTGCATGGTCGATTGACGGTCTTTAGTCTCTTGGTCGCTTACAGGTTTTTTACCGATCGCAGGCGTTCGGAAATATGTCGCAGGAAGGTTGCAAGCGACTGCAATAGAATAGGCGTAGGATGTTGGTCTATTTGGGCAAAGACTTTTTTCATAATTTGTTATGTAAGCCTTCTAAATATCAAGGTCATAAATTATAATATTTTAGAAAAAAAAAAAAACATAAATTGCATTTGTTGGCAATATTTAATATCAATTGCCAAGGCTTTCATATACCAGGTATTTCACACTTGTACGAACCCCCCCCCCCCAAAAAAAAAAGTGATCCTAAAAGCAATGTACGATTTTTTGACGCTACTTTTATTTATTTTATCATTTTGCGAAAATCAAACGTAAAATGCCGAAAACCTCAATTATATATCGCTGTATGTTATTTAAAATTTGCAAAGCCATATTATCAGAGTAAACAATGAAACAAATACACGAATGCAGAAAAAACGGAAAATAAAAGCAATTTAATCAGCAAGGTATAACTGCTATTTAATATCGTAATTTAAACAATCAAAATTATCCACAAATAATTGAACAAATCGTAAAATGTGTCCAATAGACTTTAATAAAAATAGTTACAACACAAACAATTTAACATCTTCCCAGTGCTTGGTACCCTCACTACAAAAAGTACACGATGCGCATGACTTGTCACGATTTAATTACGTTGTATTGTAAGTGGCAAACGCCTAGGGTTAAAAAGACAAAGGGAAAACCACACATTCGGTTGCAAATCAGTTGCAAAGTAGTCGGCGACCTGTTAGCAACCGGTTGGATACCACAAGTAGGTTTGTCGGTCGCCAGGAGGTTATCGGTGCTGCATCGTAAACCGGTGCGACCGGTTATTAAACCAGAGTTCTTTTTTGGAAACCACTTGGCGAGTTGTTGCAACCGGTTGCCGACCTTTTTGCAACCGGTGACAGATGCAAGTCGCAAAGAGGTTTTTTGTTCAGTGTGACCGTAACTGCACAGGCCTTGCGACCTCAAAGAGACCAAGTATTTGACCAAGAAAATATTAAAGAGTATAATGAGATTAATAAAGATTTAAACGTATGCAAGTTTATGTTTTTATTTTCGAGTTTTTTTTTTACTCTTTTTCCTTCTTAGGTAAGCAAAGCCAATTATTATAGCAGTCCCCTCTTTTTGAAAAGGAGTCGTTTTACTAGAGCATTTTTGTATTTTGAGAGGGGAATATATGGGAAAGCAGCTACTGTCACAAGTATATTCATGTATATTCTGGGTGATCTTGCTGCTGCCAGTTGGCAAGCGATTGCTGCAGTCCTGCAACCGGTTTTCGGTCACCAAGTGGTTGCAGACAGGTTGTTTATCGCTCGTCAAACAGTGTGCGACTTGTAACCTATAACTTGAAGATGTCTACAAGAGGTTGCAGATACCATACTGCAACCTTGTTGCAACCGGTTTGCGACTGCTTGCCGATCAAAATTGGCCATAGCTTCTTAATTAGCTTGCAAAGTGATCGCAAGCGACCGCCAGATTTTGTGGTTGCAAAAAGGTTGCAAAAAGGTCGCAAGTGCAGTGTGACCGGGCCTTAAGGTAGCAACATTACGGAAGATGTATTTATCTAGTCTTAAAGCACGTGCTACATAAAAGGGAAGTCATCAGGTATAGATGGAACATGGTTTGAAACGTATAAGCATACTGTTAGTGTTATTAACAGGATGTATGAAAAGGTTCATTACATATTAGTGTCCGACAAGAGACGTTCCTCCAAACTAGTGTGCAAGTTTAATTTCACCAATTCACAGTATAGGAACTGCACAATATAGGAACTGCATTCGACCTTAATTGTCTGGCTGGTACGCCTCCTCAAGCAGCTAGGGGGTAATTAACAAGCGTGTGTTAATAAACACTTTTCACTGATTGCACTTCAAGAATGTGTTGCTGAATAATATTACTGACAATGCACTCTTGCCACAACTCGTTTACACGTCGATACATGGCTAAAAAGGCAAAGAAAAAGCGAATCCCGCTGCAGAGAGTATTTCGATACTTACGCATGTCACAATATGGCCCAGTATAACCCGGCGGACAGACACATTTGAATGACTCCGCTGTCTCCACACAGGTGCCTCCGTTTGGGCATGTGACATAATCACAATTGAGCAGGACATCTGCAAAACAAATGGAATGTAAAAACAAAATATCCGTCTGCCACATGAATTAAGAAAAATATAACGGAGGTCTCCAATAAGCATGCATATAAACATTATCATGCACATTTTATTGTACATTAACTCCCCACAGATTTCGTTTTTGACCTGACTCATACCAAAACGGCACCAGGTGAAACCTAGCTCTCTCCATGGAGACGGCAATTGTGTACTTACGCTTTTCACAATATTCCCCTTGTTGTTTTGGAGGACAAATACACACGTAGTTTTCATCTGTTTCCTGACATAAACCTCCGTTCTGGCAAGGATTTGAATTGCATCCGCTGACGTCTGCAAAATAATAATAAAAACTTAATAAATAAATAACAAAGCACAGATCCTTTGGGCAGCTTGTCTTTGTTTATTGTTTTAATGATGTTTATTATTCATACTTTTTTTCGTTAAAATTCTGCTTAAGACACACACAATATTTGCCAGATCATTCCACTCAAACATGCAATGAAGATCAAGAACATCATGAAAAAAAATCGTATTGATTATCTTTACACCATCATTATGTCTCGTTTTCATTTTAAGCTACGGCAAACTTTTTGACAAATTTTGAAAACCGTTAATCAGTAGGGCACAATATTATCGTAGGTGACCTTGCACAGTTCCCATGCGGGGATTGTTCGGTGGACTTGCGGTAATCGTGATAAAGTTTGAACCTGTTGTGGATATCTTTTCCTTTCAGCTTTGGTGGTTTTAGGAGGCATAACAATAGGATCTTTTGCTGTCACGATTTGAAGTTTTGCGCTTCCTCGTTGTGACCACATGTGTGCTAAAATCGTAGTGATCTGCACCGAAAAACGTTCATTTCTTCAATGAAGCCGCACAGAAGGCGTACAGCAACTGCACTGAGACTGAAAGGGCTCAATACGATCACTTTTAAACAGAGAAGTCGATTTTTTCCCTTCGTGATCTCAATGACATGTCGGCTGAATGACGTGGCAACCGCACGTGATGTAAATTAAACGTTGCCCGCACTGAAAATGGTTAACGATTTCATCGTACAACGTTTGTGTCAAATATTATCCACGCTTGAGGTAAACTTTTCTTGAAGTTTGCGAATTTTTACAATAAAGCACATTAGCTGTAACGAATGGTTACATGCAACGTGCATGGTAGGGAGGGCAGCATCCGAGGCGTTAAAATGCGTGAAATGATTTAAGGTCTAAGTACTGGCAATTGTTTTTATTGACTTCAGTCAAATATTGTGAATTTTGACAGTGGATAGTCCCACTTTGCCAAGGTCTTCTATTTGTATACAAACAAATGACCACATTCACACTGTGTACATTACATCATGCTTACTTTCAGGTTCTCCCGTCATAGCCATTGCAGTCACATCTTCAGCTAACTTAATGCTTACGTAGAAAATAAAGATGAGATTAAAAACCTGCGCCATGGTTGCACTCAACGTCTTTCTCTCTCTGCGTCTAAGCAAAACGGATTTTATAGCGCATTCAAGAGCTTATACGAAGATCAAGGACATCTCTGAAAAACCACAGCAAATATAACCAACCACAACTATATACCGTTGAATCACCCTTACGTCACATTACCACACATTTTTATCAATTAAAAGAAAGTGAGACATTCAAGCACTTGCATAAAAAAAATCATTGAAATAAAAATAGGAATAAAGTGAGTCGCTCAGTTGGAACATGTCTTATCATGGTCTACGACGCCCTTCCTTGTCAATGAATAAACGAAGACTTTGTTATTTTACAGGACAAAGTACGTCATCTAGAGTGAGGGTAGGCATTATCCAAGCCCAGACAATGGAGGTTTTCCGGTCGGTTACGGAACGGTACGAATGTATTCCCTTTAAGGCATAAAATGTGCATATGTACCCCGGTACTTTACCACATTTTTACAGGGAATTTTATCATTTTCCATTAATCATTTAACTATAGCAAAAACCGTGTACAGAAGTATGACTCTTACTCATTTTCTCTTGGTTTAAAGTTTTTGAGCCACCCTCGTGAACATATGAATTTAGAACTCACTATTTGTTAATTTTGCTTAACAGCTTCACATTTGGTATACCCTGACAATGAATGGAAATTTGATGGACTTTCCAGTGAACTCCATCCCTTGCTATGTAAAGGTCTTCAATGTAATGTGCAATGTCTGTCCTTCAAGAATGACGTGTGTTTACAGATATGCCTGGCAAAGCAGGATTTATATGTTTTGATTCCGGACACGTACACCACTAGCCCCCTTTGATAACGTCATAAAACCGACAATGACAAATTATTCCCTTATAGGGTGTAAAAGGTAGCAGTCGCTCAGTCGCCAGGAGTGGGTTAATGGCGACTTAGGCGACTGTCTCACGCTTTTAGCTGACTAAGCCAATGAACAAGCATAAAATAAACCATTCACCACTCTGAACGTTTAGTAATCTTTTACTGAATCTAGAGGTTAATAAGTTTACAAACTGAAGGTAGAAGTTTTTGTATATATTTCAATATATAAAACAATTCAGCAAACTAAAACGACATAGTTAAATTCTACGACGATGCTGGGTCTTCATACAAAATTCGTGTCAGTAAAACGATGCGCTTGGGATTGATTCTTTTGCTTATCATCAAAGTAGGGCCTCCGAATTCCCTTTGGAACCCGGTAATGTGGCAGTTTTATTTTGTTTGGAGTTTATACATTATGATTACTTTTTAAAGTCTATTAATTAATTATTGTCCATGATATTAATGGCGCGGTGAGCAGTGCATTGTGTGTAAAATTGCTTGTGGTGGCAGCGTCGCACTCCTACCGCAATGGCCGCAATCTATGGTGATAAACTGCCTTTTTACTGGGTCACTAGTAGATGATAATATAGTGATACGTTTTTTTAAAAAATAAATATAGCCTATCAAAAAGAACCGTATCAATGCTAACAAATAGATAAGAGGGACAGCTTACAGAACGCGCACATCTTGAAATTAAAATGGTGATCATTTTCCCTAAAAGAATGCGCTGCGCTGACAGACACTCTTCTAGTCCCGGTGACCTTAACAAGTCGGCGTATTACAAAACATGAACCTTTCCTTGGTCAAACAAATTAAAAAATTATTGTGAATGTTAAACCGGTCACCCCGGTGTATGTATTCATGTAATCAGGATATACCTGCACAAATGCACAAGTACCGCATCGATACCTTTTGAATAACGAAATAATCTTTACAAACATTCAATATTTACTAAAGCACTTACCGTTCAAGAGCTCAATACACACGACTGCATGCTGACCGTATAATGTGATCTCACAAGGGCCCCTAGTATAGCCTGTTATAAATTTTAAGAAGAGACAATTTAGTAACAGACCAGTAGCAGATCTCAGTATGCCGAGCGCTGACGTGTAACAGTTCACAAAAGGTAAATGTTCCCGTATATTTGACTTTGAACGACTGAGATATTTCACTTATTAGAAAAAGTGCAAGAATAATTTGGCATTTTTAATAGTGGTTCAAGTCAACAGAAGCATGCTGGCTGACTCGGTGATAACTATGGCATCAATCTTTAGGTTCTGTCATACCAGCATACTGTAGAGAAGACCGTATGAATATTGTATGTGACATCGATTATACGCACAATTTTTAGCTTATGAAATCACCCCGTTTCCAGCGCATTAAAACCAACATATTCAGCAGCGTATGCAATTGTTTTTAAAATGTTCAAAACATTTCACGTCCCTCCGGGTATGCGAACGTGCACTAAAGTTTACGTACTCAAGACGTTTTCGACGTGAGTATAACAAACCCGTTGAGATCGTTTACTTATGGGGAATTTTCTTATACGTTAATGCTAAAAAGGTTTGGCGTTGTTTTTAGCAATCCCTTTTGTTTTATATCAGGCACACGCCACGTTGTGGCAAAAAAGGGGGCCAGTTTATATAGAAAGAACACAAACACTTCGCCGTGTCTGTCCACCATTCCTTTTTTATGGCCCCATTAAAAGGTTATTAAATGGTTTTATGATTCTTTTACATAATTCAATGCTTGATCAAATCCCACTCGTACCGGCACTGAACCGAGGTCTGGGACTAGAGTTACTTGTTTTTACTCTGTGTGTGTGTGTGTGTGTGTGG